GTTTCAGGCACTGATAGTGCCTTCTGTTGACTAAAACCTAGTCATGGCAGCAGGTTATTGGGGATATTTTAATGACATTCCCAAAGAAATCCATTCTGTGGGTAAAACAGGAAGGAACATAAAATGCAAACCCCAAGCACCATGAGAACGGGGCTCCTGTCGTTCTCCAAATAGGGTGCCTGTACTCATGCGACTTGGGGAAGACCAGATGGTTTCCGAGGGATTGCAAGAATGGGGTGAGCAATTGGGAGAAAGAATGACACAAGCAGCTTGGAGAACGACACACCGATCACCCTGCACAGAGGATCCCTCCTGCAGAGTACAAGGAGAGGAGGAGAGCTGCCAGACGACCTGGTATACCTGTAATGTAGAATAGTCCGGCTCTGCGCTCTCCCTCCTCGTGCATCGCCTGCAGCTCCCGACACAGCCCCAACGCTTCCGCTTCTGACAGACAGCAGCGACGGCCAATCAGGCGGGTGGGCTGGATAAATGACCCTGGCGGGCCGTATCCGGCCCGCGGGTCGTAGTTTGAGAACCCCTGTTCTAAGGTATCTTGGATGTTGACGTCTCTACTATACAGTGTTTCAGTATATTCCTTCCATCTTCCTTTGATATTCTTTGAATCGGTTACTATCTGTCCATTGGTATCCTTTAGCATACCAATTTGAGGTTGGGAACTTCTTCTGATTTCAGAGATCTTTTGAAAGACTTTCCTTGTTTTTCCATGCCTGTTTCCATCTTCAGTGTCCTTACAGATGTTGTAATATTGCTTCTTCTAACAGCTCTCTGGAACTGTTTAAGTTCCTTTCTGAGATGTTTGTCTTTCTTGGCTTTGGCTTCTCTTCTCTTCTTGGCAATTTCCATGGTTTGTTCTGACATCCAGTTTGCTTTCTTCTCTTTCTTCATTTTTGGCAGTCTCTTTTCACATTCATCCTCAGTGATTTCTTTAAGTTAATCCCATAATTCCTCTGGTTTTCTATCAGTGAAGTTCAGGACTGAAAATGGTGGTCATATGTTCAGGATCATATTGTGGAAACTGACTGGCTTTCTTCTTCTTCTGTAGTGCAACTTGGAATGTGTACATGAGTAGTTCGTGATCTGTTCTACAGTCAGCCCCTGGCTACAGCTATGATGCTATAACTGAGCTCCTCTACCTCCTTTTAGCAATAATGTAGTCAAATTTGATTTCTGGGCTAACATGACAATTTATTCTTGGAACTGATGGTTTCCTAACTAAGATAACACCCCTGACAATTGGACTGAACAATATTTTTTCACACCAGCAAAACGATGTATTCTACCATTTCAGTCTCTACATATGTATCAGTGAATATTACAGGTAATCTGAAGTAAGATCATGAGCGCAGTTGCAGTTTCACTTAGTGACCAGTTCTCTTAACGACAAAGTTGCTGGCCCCAATTGTGCTTACTAAACGGGGACAACAGGTAGTCCTTGCTTACTGACCATTTGTTCAGCGACCGTTTGAAGTTACAATGGTGCTGAAAAAATAATTTTACAGCCAATTTACGACCATTTATGACCTTTGAAGTGTCCTTCAGTCATGTGATCACCATTACAGTCAGTACATGTCTTGTGCCAGACCTGTGTTTTGTTCTTTGTTCCCTGCTTGCAAAGCAGAGAGTTTAGAGAGAAAGGGATTGCAGGAAAGTAAGCTGTTTGCTATTCTACACATAGAAAGCAATATGATCATGTCCAGGGCTGGGAACTGTGGGCATGCTACGCATTCTCTTGAAATTTCTTTCTCTCCAATCTCTCTGCTCTGCGGGAGGGGGGGGGGAGAAAAAAAAGCAAGCAATTTCTGTAGGCAATCTCTCCTTTGTATGATCCTTTCCCACAGTCGGTGCAATCACATTGCTTTCGATGTGTAGAAGAGCAAACAGCTTACTTTCTTCAAATCTCTTCCTCTCCAATCTCTCTACTCTGGGGGGGTGGGGGGAAGGGTCAGGCAAAGGAGAGACTGCTTGCAGAAATCGCTTGTTCCCCCCCCCCCCCCGGGGGGGGGG